ATGGTGAAAGAAAATTTATAAATGAAAAAAAAAAAAAAAAAACTTTGCCCGACCTACTGACCCTATGCTGAAATTTCATGTTACCGGAAACACACTATCTTTTTTGTTTGGTCTAAGGGTAATCAAAGCTGACAACCCACGGAAATTCCCTTCCTTAACAATTTGTCCGGATTTCCATTATTTATTTATTTATTTTTGGGTCATGAAAATTACCACGAGATGGCTATCACAGCATATTATGTAATACGATTAAAAAAAAATATATGCATATTGTTCACTTGCACAGCAATCATTACTCTGTAACTATCACTGTTAATAAAAAAATGGGTTCAATATTTTTTGTGATATTTTATTTGTTTGTTTATGGAACATATAGACAGATAACAGAAATTTGGTGTGAAGTGAAAGGGAAGTACAAAAACCTTAAAAAAAGAAAACTGACATTTTGCACAGTTTGTGTTCAAAGGAAGTAGTAAAAAAAATGTATCTAGTCCTACCCCTTGTTCTTGGTATATTTTAACTTGTTAAAATGACAACAGATCAATCATGTTTGTAGAGTGTATCCCAAAAAGAAAAGGAAAAAAGTCAAGTTTGCAACTGCACTTAGGTACACCTAATGCATAGTGTACATATGGCTACAACATACGGTTGAGACAGGTGCTACGTAAGCACACCCTCTCGCACAGTGGCTTCAAACTCGCGGCCCGCGGGCCAAATGCAGGACACTAGTTTGCGGCCCCTGCCTTGTTATGACAGTTTAATGTTAGTGCGGTCCACGCAAGTTTGATATGAAGGCTGTGTCTGTTAGCACTACCTCCGTGCTAAATAGTTAAGTCTGTCTCATTCGAAGGCCAACAGCTTCGGAGCACCTGGACTGTAGCGGCAATGTGACCGTGCCCACAGTGTCCCACACCAGCTTGAATACACGTGTAAACCACAGATGTAAACAACCTGCCCCTGCTGCTGAATACACATATAAACAGATAAACAACACGCTAGCGTGGCTGTCATCGGAGCTGGGTGTTCCGAAGCACCAGATCTTACGTTACACATGCACAAGAACGGGGGAAATGAGTCCTAAGATGCTAACACGGAGCTAGCACTACTACATCTACACAAACGAAGTTTTATTTGTATGTGTCCATGGTAGCGCTAGCTCCATGCTAGCCATTAGCTGAACTTTTCAGACTTTCATTTTTTTATGTATTTTATATTAAACGGGGGTGGCCCAGTGGTCCAGTGGTTAGCGTGTCATGCTTAATCTGTTTGGGACCAACAGGTGGCTCTGTAGGGCTCATGAGTAGGTTCTCTGTTAAAAGGACTCCTGGCCCGCCCACTCAGTGTCGGGTCATTGTTTCTGTTGTAGTCACTGCTTCTGTTGGTTAGTGTTTGTGCGTTACTGACATGGATTTTTGTAGTGATGTGCCCGACTGTGCCGAGGTACCGATGCGTGTGCCGAGTAAACCGGAAGAAAATCTGCGAAGCGCGCACCGAGGCGTGTGTCGATTATGCTTGTGGCCACGCCCGATACCTCGGAACGCGCGTTGCTCCGCCCGAAGCCTCACGGGACGGGATTCCTACGTCACCGCCCACAAATAGTTTCGCGGGTGAATCGAAATAAATTCGGCGCACCGGGACGATAATGAGCTCACAGGTGACGCTGACACTCCACTCGCATCTCCAAACCTCAACTCATTCTGATTCGTTTTACAATGGACGGCTTTGGACGCACCCCACCATCCACAACGAATAAGAAGAGAACATCCCCCGTCTGGGATCATTTTGAGCAGATCTCTCCGAAAAAGGTACAAATTATAACCAGTGTGAATATATATTGTGACAGCACAGTGCATCCCTCATTCTAATGTCTTTCTTCTACTTGCTGATATTTCAAAAGGTGAAGTGTAAACTTTGCTCCAAAGAACTTGGGTACCAAGAGAGCACGTCATCTATGTTGAGGCATTACAGGGCCCTGCATGAAAATAAGGAGACAACTCAAACAGAACCGCCCCCAGGTAAGGCATTTTAACATGCAATGAAAGAACAGCATAGCCGGCCGGCCATGTGTATTTCAAATGTGACCGATGAAATGAATGACATCTATCATTAACTCTGTTTCTGTTCAACCGCAGTGGATAAGAATGCAGTGGAAGAGGCATTAATCAATATGGTGATTGAAGATTGCCAGCCCTTCAGTTTTGTGGCGGACACAGGGTTCAGGAAGCTTATCCGAGCTTTCGACCCTACATATGTTCTCCCCACCAGGCGGGTGGTGCTAAAATGTGTCTAAGTTATTTTAAATGTGTGTTTAAATGGCGTCAACAAATGAAGCGTTGTCAATGCCATTAAAACGTGTTTAAGGATTATTTAAATTGTCTATTTCGGGGATTTCATTGATTGCGGGGGGTCCTGCAACATAAACCTCGCCCGCGACGGAGGCAGGATTACTGTCCTCCTAACTAAAAATTGTGATTGAGATGTTGTGGCATTTGCCCCATCGGAAGCTTGATCGGAGTCGTACGTCACATTTCCACAAACACAAAGCACAATAAAGACCGATTTACAGCTCGTAACTTGGGAAACTCGTAAGCAAGGTGTTCCTGTATTTTAATATTTCTGGACGGCGATCCTCAAAAGTGCAACTGGGGGTCGTTTTAACACAGACTAGCATTAGCATTAGCATTAGAAGCTAGCAGCCCATAAACGTCAATTCTCACATGAAAAAAAAAACTCCACAAAGAAAATTATTTGTTGATAAAGTCGAGAAAAATAAGAACTCAACATGAAATTTACGTTTGAAGAATACAAATGATTGGGACCTACCTTTTTTGTTAAATCTTGTTTTTCCTTTGCCTGACAGCAACTGGAACTACAAACACATCAAGTTCAACTCAGGGCACGACACAAATGAATTTGTTCGAAAAATATGACTTACCTTGAAAGGTGTCCATGAGGCCTGATGAACGCCAAAATTTGCCAGGAAATATGAGCAATTTATATCCTTTTAAAATTAATTCTGGTGTCCCATGTTCATGATTGTATTTCAATGAATTACAATTGAAGTTTCAGAAACCAACGGAACACTTGCTTGACGCTATGATAAGAGGCTGGAAGTACTCTACTGACATCGTGTGGTCAAACACGACAACTGCAACCAATTACACAAAGACGTCACGTCCTGATGGACGACGTAACACGCCCTCGACAATGGCGACACACAAACGGATCATTGGACACAGTATTAGATACACTTAGTCATAACAAAATCCAACACACGGGGAAAAATATTTTCATAAACATGTTGTCAGTTCAAAAAAAGGGAGACGTATTCAAAATAAAATGTGACACTTGGGTGTTGATGATGTACTTCATAAAATGGCCACTGAGTGTAAGTTTTAAGTGGATGTCGTTTTCTTTCTTTTTTTTTCCCTTTGTCTCTGATCCGAAGAAGTTCAGCCAATTCAAAGAAGCCCAAATTAGCCATCACTAATACAAATGTAAAACAACGTACTTCAATTGAGTTGAAGCTCATTATGGGATGCGCTTTTGACAAGTTGCCATAACAATCACACGCACAAGTATAAATAAAAAAAAATAAAATGATGAAATGAATCAAATGTTGCCTGTGAGTAAGCGTGTGTCAAATGGATAGGAAGCGTTCTTACAAAGTCACACGGCAGCATGTCAAAGTTTGACTCGGGCAAACATTTAATGAAACAACAAACATTTTTTGATGACAGCGGATGCAAAAAAATGCGATTTTTAGGACGACTCAAACATCTTCTTCCTGTCTGCTTTGTCCTCAATGTTCTTACGCCAGTCGCCCACCGCCTCTGCCGGCTGCACACACACACACACACACACACACACACACACACACACACACACACACACACACACACACACACACGCGCACACACACACACGCACACACACACACAGAGGGTCAACTCTTGCCCTGTGTGCTACGTTGCATGTTACACTTTTTAATCCTCTGTGTCCAACATGCCATCTTCAATGTTCTCCATCAATGACAATTTGGACCAAGTTTCCATCATCGACCATCGACTGCATTTCTATTCTATGTGCTATTTTTTTTTCTCCGACATTTTACATGGCCAAGATTTTACGTTCCGCGTTCCGTGTCGTTCGATTGTCCAGAGCTTTCCTTGACATGCAGCCTGCCCAACATGCTTTGCTCTCATGTCAACGTTGCAGGATGTGGACGCTTCACGTTCCGCATTCGCTGCCTACAACGTTCTCCAATCCGTCATCAACCGTTGCACATTCTGTGCACTTTGTACTATGCGCTACATTCTGTGGCCGACGCCCTACGGTCCGTTACGTACGTTCCCTTTCCTCCGTTATCAGGCCGATGTTCTACATCGGGGGAGGGGTGTGTCCAAAATTTTCGTTTGAGGGCCGCATACAGAAAAATGGAAGGGTGACAGGGCCACTTTAAAATGTGTCCATTTTTTGAAAGACACTAAAGTCGGTGAAGAAAGCAATTCTGTATTTGGATCGTCAAGTTCATTTCATCAGCTTTCTGTTCAAGGCGTCAAGGCACATAGCTGAGCATTTTTCAAGTTTTTGGGGTGACCGACAGAGTAGATCCAGCGCCCATCTCCACATTCAGGGGCGGATCTAGTGGAGCGAGATCCAGGGCCATTGGGCACCCCACAATCTTGACAAATCCTAAACAATTTGCCTTATTACCTAGAAAAGAAAGCTGCGTTGTCGCAGTTTTCCGAAGCAAGTAGAAAATGTTCACCTCCTCTTTGACCTCCTTCTTGACCTGCTTGAGGTTGGCCCTGAGCTCCATGTTGACGGTGTGCTTGGAGCCCAGCAGCGCCTTCAGCATGGCGTCGGCCGACATGCGCACCTTCCTCAGGGTCGGCTTCTTCACGCCCGCCAAGTCGATCACTTTGAACTTCAGTTCCTCGATCTGCGCGAGGGGAGTGCCAACACACCCACCCACACACACACACACACACACACATGTTAGCTTAGCTTCAGTAGCCACATGTTCACCACAAAGAGACACGGGCGCCGCGTCATACGCCCGTATGCTTCAAACTATAATGCTAGCTGCTATTGCTAATCCCCTCCATTTTCTTTAGCGCACGTGTTATCGTCATGTTCACCTGGAATTGCGAGGTTCTAACCACCCAAACGCCATGCTGCCTAGCATGCTAAAGTGGACTATATGAAGAAGACTTTAGAAGAACGTGCACTCACCTCTTTGTCAGCTTTTGCAACTTTGACCGACAAGTCGTACCTCTCCTCATCCGTTTTCTCGATGAGGGCGTTCAACTTTCTGCACGTCTCCTGCGCGCATCATTCGAAGGGCAACGTGGTTATGTCATGTGACATCATCACCGTGGGACATTCCGATCATGTTATAGCATCATCAAAAATGATCATCGGACATGCTATGGCAGCACTGTCACACGTTGTCGAGTGAGGTCACTATGTGACGTGGTCATGTCCTACTGATGTGACATCACCGTCCTGACATCAACACGGGACAAATTGACTATGTGCTGTCAAGATCACATGACGTCATTTTCACGTGACCTCATCAGGTTTTTGTCAAGTGCGGCGTCAACGAGTGTCGCGATGAGAAGGCGGCGCGCGGGTCGAGGTGAGCTGACCATGAGCGTGGTCTGGTTTCCGCTGAAGCTGGGCTTGGTGCAGACCTCGGCCAAGTAGTTGTGCTTGGCCGCGGCCAATTCTTTCTTCTCCTGCTGGATCCACGTGGCGGCGATGGACAGGATCACACTCTGCAAGCGCGCAAGCGAGAAAGTTCACGCGCCGGCATTTCCGCGTGCAGTTGTTTGCTCCCCCTCATGCGCTAAGTTAGCATGCTATGTTAAATGTTCCGCGACATTAGCTGAGCAAGTGCTACGATTTATGCTACAAGATACTTTCACAGGCGTAACCGGGCTACTGTCCGTGGTCCTTTTGGCAACACTTAAAAAAAAAGACACAAGATAACCTACTGAGTGTAACTAATGAAGTAATTAACTTGTAATTAACTTGTAATTAAATGAGTCATCAGCGAAGAACTAAGTTACTTTTAAAGGTGTAATCAGGTGACTGCTCACGGTAACTGAAGCAGCACTTACAAATTCACACAATAGCCTGCGAAGTATAACTAGTAAAGTGACTAAATTACTCTTATAAGAGTAATCAGGCTACTGTTCACAATAACTGAGGCAATACTTAAAAATATACTCACAAAATATACTCACAATAGTCTGCCTGAATGTAACTGACAAAGTAACTCGTTACCTTACCTATCAGTTATGTAACTCCAGTGTTTTGTGTACCTTCAAGTGATGCCGGCGGCTGGAAGACATCTTTTTCCTGAAAAATTGCCAGGGGGGGGTAAATCCAAAATAAATCTCATTTAAGGTCTCTTGACGAAATGTTTGTGAGTGTTTTAGAGCTCCTGTAACTTACTCAGACATGTTGCTGGCGTTCGAGGCTGCGAGATACGACAACAAACGAGAAGAAGAAGAAGAGAATGATTAGACAATTAGAATGAAATGCGCTTGCTGATCTATTTGCGAACTTTGGACTTCACAGCAGCTGGGGGTCAAATGTCGCCCGCGCTAATCTCTTTAGCGCATGGCGGGAAATCAAATCTCTGGGTGGAATCCACACCGTCCGGACTCCTTTCACGGAATAGGAATTTGCCGAAGACGCTGCCGCAGCATCGCGCGGGTCAACGCCAAAAATACTGCCAAGCTTCATCGCCCGCAAAACCTCAGGAGGCGTCTTCATTGTCGCCGTTGTCGGAAATTTAGCGCAACTTGCATCAGCTTATCTCAGCCAAAGGTCGACAAAGAGCCGAGCTGTCAGCGGGCGTCTTCCAAACGCTTGCACAAATGCCACAAGTCAAGTCAAAACAAATCACAGAAACAAAAACATGCAATGAGAGCGAGCGCCATCACAAGCGGATTCCTCACAGACACCAAATAGAAAGAGTAAAAGGTGGTCAAAATTCAAAACATCAAAAATAAAATGTTGAAAAGCTTCAAAAAAATCAATGGGGAAAAAAAAGAATGAGAAATATCAAATCAAATAAAAATGTATTCTTCCATAAAATTGATGATGCAAAGAAATCATTTTAAAATTGCATGACAATCGGAAGGATTTAATAAGGAATGTAAGTGTAAATATATTCTTTAAAAAATAAAACAGGAGGGGGTGGGGGGGGTAATCGTGAAAATGTGAAAAATAAACATTGAGTTCAAAGAAAATAGAAAATAAAAGAGACAAAAATATTAACGCAAAAAAAAATGTACTGATTTTGAGCACGGCAATGACATCGTCATCATCGTCATGCATTCAAAGACTCGCCAAGAAGGGCCACCGAGGGTCAAGAGGCCGCAGCGCTCGGCCGAGGAGGCGCCGGCTCACCTGTGCCGAGGAACAAGAAGAACAAGGAGAAGAAGAAGGAGCAGCGGAGGCAGCGCTAAGAGTGTGCGGCGCGCCGACGTGCCGATATATACGCGGATCCATTTACATAGCGGGGGGGGGGGGGGCAAAAGCCAC